CGTGGCATTGCCGGCGCTTGAGGCCTGTTCCGGAGCTGGAACAGAGCGATCGCACATCCGGTCAAGCCTCCGCGACGGTGCGCTCCGCTAACGACCAGTTCAGGTGACCGCACGCCCTCCGAGGCGCCGCGGCCGTCGGAATTTTCCGGTGACACTCCATCAACGCCTTTTGCAGCCTATCGCACGATCGCATCCTCCAATTCGATTCCCTCTTCTTCTTTTTGGTCTGATTTTTTCCCCATCTTTTTGTCGCCATCCCTTCGAAGGGGGTAAATCACTCAAATATACCAAAGCCGTCGCACTCATTTCTCGGATACACCCGACAAATTATAACCCATTAACTTTTTTTTGAAAAAACTATATTATCCTTAATGAAACCGTGTAATTATAATTGTAAAATCGTAATTGATTCTAAATGTAGTTGCAATTGATTCTAAATATACTTACAATTGATTCTAAATAAGGTGACAAAAAATACATCTAATTGTTTACATGATCTTTAGTTGTTATACGGTCGTAAATACTATTTTTTTAGTCGTATATTAGTTATATAACAGTCGTAATAAAGTCGTAAAAAATATAAAAGAAAGGTTATTTCGGACTTGCCTAAAAATGGTATAGAATTGAAAAAAAAAATTTAATTTTTTTTAGGTGTATCGCTGAAATTGTTGCGGTATATTTGGTATAGTTGAGTGATTTTTCCCTTCGAATGGGTAAAAAAAATATATAAAAATAAAGCGTCGTGGCATTGCCGGCGCTTGAGGCCTGTTCCGGAGCTGGAACAGAGCGATCGCACATCCGGTCAAGCCTCCGCGACGGTGCGCTCCGCTAACGACCAGTTCAGGTGACCGCACGCCCTCCGAGGCGCCGCGGCCGTCGGAATTTTCCGGTGACACTCCATCAACGCCTTTTGCAGCCTATCGCACGATCGCATCCTCCAATTCGATTCCCTCTTCTTCTTTTTGGTCTGATTTTTTCCCCATCTTTTTGTCGCCATCCCTTCGAAGGGGGTAAATCACTCAAATATACCAAAGCCGTCGCACTCATTTCTCGGATACACCCGACAAATTATAACCCATTAACTTTTTTTTGAAAAAACTATATTATCCTTAATGAAACCGTGTAATTATAATTGTAAAATCGTAATTGATTCTAAATGTAGTTGCAATTGATTCTAAATATACTTACAATTGATTCTAAATAAGGTGACAAAAAATTCATCTAATTGTTTACATGATCTTTAGTTGTTATACGGTCGTAAATACTATTTTTTTAGTCGTATATTAGTTATATAACAGTCGTAATAAAGTCGTAAAAAATATAAAAGAAAGGTTATTTCGGACTTGCCTAAAAATGGTATAGAATTGAAAAAAAAAATTTAATTTTTTTTAGGTGTATCGCTGAAATTGTTGCGGTATATTTGGTATAGTTGAGTGATTTTTCCCTTCGAATGGGTAAAAAAAATATATAAAAATAAGATAAATTATATATATAATAATATTATTTTTTTAGTTTTTTTATGTCAAATTTAGCTATAATAATTACTCACCTAATGAATTAATTCCACCTATCTCACTCATAAATTATTATTATTTTCTCAAAATAAGTTAAAAGCTGTAGCATAAATAATTATTTCAAGAAAATGTTGAATAAAGAGATGAATATTGTCTAATTTAAAATAGGCCCAGGAAGAATGTGACAATATAAATATGCGAATTTAAAAATATTATAAAGATGGACAACATAGAAAGGGATGGCACTTTTACAAAGTACCTGCCAAGAGAGGTAATCTAATAATTACTTTTGGTGGGGTGTGAATATATATATATTTATTTATTTCTTTATATTACACTTTTTATGGGTGGGACGAAAGGTCAATAGACAATGATTTGATGATTGAAAATGAAAGAAGAAAAATAATATATGGTGGAAATGATATATATATATATAATTTGGGCAGCTTGGCTAATTTTATTGTATATATGATGATAGGCATGTTTGGAAGGATTACAAAAGAATGAAGTGATATGAAAACACACACATTTTTATTTCGCACGTGTTTATAAACTCATATATTCTCAACAACCAGAAGCTTTAGAGAAGAAAATGACATAAATCAAAATTCGATATTTTTTTTTTCCGAATCTTCAAAAATTTTTAATGGTATTTTTTTGAAATCTGTAAATATAGATTTTAGAATTCACATTACATAAAAAAAACTATATTCGTTAAGGTGTAAATAGAGATTTTAGATTATATGGATAAAATTAGGTGTTAGCATTTACTTCGTATTCCATTATCAGCTCACCGTCAGTGTCATTATATCTTCGTTCCATTTTTTAAAAAAATTACTAGAAGAAAAAAACAAATCGTTTTGAATTCTGTATATAACCAGAAAAATGAAAGATAGTGAAAGAGTAGTAATTACAGATATCCTAAATATAAAAAATTTAAAATTCGGATTTGATATCCGACTTAAGATATTATGATTTTAAATTAGATTTTAAACTGACTTTTTTTTAATATCTAATAGATATGTATGCATGTACATATACATATTGAATATAATATCCGAAAATAATTTAAATATTTGTCCATGATTAATTATTTGGATGCGGCCCTCACAGTCAGTGTGGGGTATATGCCTTATCTTCACAAAAGCTTTCCATTATCTCTTTTTCTCCATAAATATTACACACAATTATAATTATTATTTTTTTCAAAATCTTATTTTGATTTCTCCAATATTAACATTAGCACTTTCAACAAAAAATTAATACATTTTATTTCGCATAAAAGTTAGATCTTCCCTTTTTAGATACATATATCTGTGTGTGTATATATATATATTGATTTTTTATAAAGATTTAACTGGTTAATTGGTAAGCAGATATACACGCAAAGAGAACCCCACTCTTGGCAAATCATATGTTATAAAAAAAAATTTAACTGGTTATAAAAAAAATGGTCATTAGTGCGGTGTGCATATAAAAAAATTATTTGGTTATTTGAAAACTTATACAAATTTTAAATACCGTTGATGATTATCATATATATATAATATTATTGGTAGGTGTGGTGAGGGCTGCACTAGTTTTATTTATTTATTTTTGATAAATTTACCAGTAGGACCGGATCACAAAATGAATATTTGTATTCATTCATAGAAACAAGAATTCGAGTAAGACCTGTTTAAATTGAAATTGAAATCCACTAAAATTCGATTTTTATTTTAAATTAATATGTGCTTTGTGTCCTTATATGATTATCTACACCATTAATTCATGGATTATATAATTAGGTAGAGTAGTGTGGTACGCCATATGATTACTTTATATCAAATGCAATTTGTAATGTCTATATTATTTTACACCAATTTTATTTTTAGAACTATATATATATATATATATATTAAGGAAAAGAACAAATAAAAGAAAAGACACTATAAAAAATAATTTAGGTAAAAGAAAAGAAATAAAGAAAAAAGATACGAGAAAACGTTTTAAAAAGTAACGATTTTTTTAAATAAGATTTTTTTAAACTAATAATAATAATAATTTTGGGTTACTGTGGACACAACCACCAGCAGCAGTGAGAGATGATAATGCAGCAAGCAATCGCTGTCTCTCCGTCGTCTTATTCCAGTCGTCTCTGCAATGCTCTCTCTCTCACCTAAATGCAGCTTTCTCTCTCTTCATTACTGCAATTCCTGGTGAAGCTTCTTCCGTTTTGGCATGAAGCCCTCACAGCTCCTCCGACGAGTTCTCCGGTCGGTGAGTGTTTTATCTTCGTTTTTTCTTCCGAGTTGTTCACGGTGTTCGGTTATCTAGGGTTTTTGGCGTGATATGGAGGTCTGGGTTTTGCTCAGTTTGCTGATTCCTAGGATTAATTCGGTTTTGAAATGTTGACTTACTCCTTCTGCTCGTCTCGTGTATGTTCTGTCTGAGAATTCATAGCAATATGATAGTTCTGCAGATTGCTTCAGTATCGCTTAAGTCTGATTCTTCTTTCCGATTCAGTCTCTTAGCTGATTCTCGTACGGTGCTTGGTTTACTGATTAATCGGTTCGATTTCATCGTCTGAGATGTCTTCTAATCCACAAACATGTCGATGTTTTGTATATAACCAACCAGTTCAAGGATGGTCGCAGTTGTCTTGGTAGTACTTAAGATAGCTGAACAGTGTACTGTCCTGTCCTTGTTTGTCTTTCGACAGAACTGAAGAGTGAAGAGGTTAGGTTTTTCTATCAAGAGAAAGTAGGTTTAAGTACCATAATTTAGGGAGATATCGAGAGCCATGGCCTCGAGCAGATGGGATCAAAGATTCATCCAATCAGCTTCATCACCATCTGAGGATTCAGCTTTGGATTTGGAGAGGAACCATCGTTGCAATCACATGAGTCTTCTATCGTCTTCAAGCCCATCTCCCCCTCAGCCATTCACACCCAATACCCAACACGCAGAGAGCAATGCCCCGTTTTTCTCGTGGCCAACTCTAAGCAGGCTGAACGATTCTGCAGAAGACCGAGCTAACTACTTTGGAAATCTTCAGAAAGGGGTTTTGCCTGAAACAGTCGGCCAGTTGCCATCCGGACAGCAAGCCACCACCTTGCTCGAACTCATGACAATAAGAGCGTTCCATAGCAAAATCTTGCGATGTTTCAGCCTCGGAACAGCAGTTGGGTTTCGGATACGTCGTGGTGTTCTGACAAACATTCCGGCCATCCTCGTCTTCGTGGCTAGGAAAGTCCATAGGCAGTGGCTTAATCCACTGCGGTGTCTTCCATCTGCCCTTGAGGTTAGATATCATGGATTTTCACTGGCATCTTTCAGAAATTTGTGTAAGAATCTCTTACAACGTAATAAATGGTAACCTCCTTTCTGTCTGAACAGGGTCCTGGAGGGGTATGGTGCGATGTAGACGTTGTGGAATTCGAATATTACGGTGCCCCGGCTGCAACACCCAAAGAACAGGTGTATAATGAACTTGTGGATGGCTTGAGAGGAAGTGATCCCTTCATTGGCTCTGGTTCTCAGGTAAAAAGAGTCTTCTCCCTTGTCTATAACCTCGGCATTGTTCTACCCGTAAGGAAACTTATAGATGAAATTTAGTATTTCTAACCAGATTTGGCTTACAAGTGAGTTTATACATATAATCTTATGAGCGAACTGACTATGGTAAAGTCCTTTAACAACAATCATTCGGCTTTTCCTCGTGTTGTGTAGGTTGCAAGCCAAGAAACATATGGAACATTGGGTGCTATAGTGAAAAGTAGAACAGGTAACCGACAGATCGGTTTCCTCACTAACCGGCATGTAGCGGTTGATTTGGATTATCCAAGCCAGAAAATGTTCCATCCTTTACCTCCAAGCCTCGGGCCCGGTGTCTACCTTGGCGCCGTCGAGAGAGCAACCTCGTTTATCGCCGATGATCTTTGGTACGGCATATTTGCTGGAATCAACCCAGGTAGATCATTGTCCTGTTTTATGGCCCTGTTAATGGATAATGTATGTAGACCTGTCCTAACTCTATGACTGTTCCGCTCTCTCCCTCTCTCTCTGTCTATTTCTGTCGCAGAAACATTTGTGAGGGCAGACGGGGCATTCATTCCATTTGCAGAAGATTTCAACATGAACAACGTGACCACGATGGTAAAGGGCATAGGCGAGATAGGCGATGTGCACATCATAGACTTACAATCCCGGGTCGATAGTCTTATAGGACAACAAGTTGTTAAAGTCGGGAGGAGCTCGGGATTGACCACAGGAACCATAATGGCTTACGCTTTGGAATACAACGACGAGAAAGGGATCTGTTTCCTCACGGATTTTCTTGTCATTGGCGAGAACCAGCAAACTTTTGACCTCGAAGGTGACAGTGGAAGCCTTATACTCTTAACCGGCCGAGAAAGGGAAAAACCTCGACCAGTTGGGATCATCTGGGGAGGAACAGCTAACCGAGGTAGACTGAAGCTAAAAGCCGGGCAAGAACCCGAGAATTGGACCAGCGGAGTTGATCTTGGTCGCCTTCTCGATCTCTTGGAGCTTGATCTCATCACATCTGTTGACGGGCTTGAAGGTTTTTGATTTATGATATTGCTCTTGTATTGTATCCCGGACCTAGCTTCTTAGATTTCCTAAGCTCATGCCCTTCTTTTTTTGCGTGGTATGCTTTTCAGCGGCTACCCGAGAACAGAGGAATGCATCGGCTACAGCCATTTGTTCAACAGTTAGCGAGTCATCCCCACCCGAACCAGTTTTGTCACAAGGCAAAGCATACGAGGCCTTTGATCCATTTATCCCGAGCGAGTTCCGTATAGATGATGTCATCAAACCGAGATCCGATGTCGTAGAGGAACGTTTGTTCATCGTTCCTAGCTCGTGGAACGCATCTGCTTCCGTGGCCGTGAAAAGGGACGAGAAAATTGGGTCGGAGAATCTTTCATCGTTAAAGAACGGTTCGGATGAAGAGCTTAACGTCTCGTTGCGTTTGGGAGGGGAGCCCAAATCAAAGAAACCAAAAGTTGGCAACTAAAGCCGAAGCAGTGGATGAGGTATAACCGGATTCCGGTTTATTCGGGTTTGGTTGGTATTTTGATATCTTACGTAAACCGTCAGGTCCTGAAACGTCGCGTTGTAATTGTGGATAAATAATAAATATATAATTATTATTCTTTACGAGATGTGTGGGGTCAGACATAAGCTGCTTTTGGGGTAGTGGGAAATAAACTACCACATGAGATAATGAAAATACCTGTGATCCAAATTCAACCGGTCGGTTGTCGATTTCATTTTAATTTTCTTCTAATTTTGTAATATATAATATTAGGATTTAAGAAAAATAAAACAGTCACTGGTAAATACGAAAATTGAGATATTATAAAGTAAATTTCCATGTGGCGGTTACAGCTCAAGCAAGGTTCAAAAAGGGTTTACTTTCTACCCTTTGATAAACAGTAGTAGTTAACGATGCGACCAATAATAATAATAATAATCTATTTGTTTGTATAATAATAATGTAAAATTAATCTCTTTTTTGTATCGTGATTACACATAGTATAAAAATAGGGCATTTTAATAATTGTAATTGAATACAGGATGTTGAATAATTATTAATTAAAATGCTGAGAATATTAATTCTTATATGTTTCTATGCAAACGATAACAATAAATACTAAATAGTATTTTCATTAATTTATTTTTCTAGATTTATTCCTGATTTTACACAAACACGCACACGTGGAGATAATTGTGTGCGTGAGTCAAATACTCTTCAAAAGACCAAGGGTCTAGAAGCGAGAAGAGCGCAGCAGAGACTCTGGTCGAGACAGTGGGTTACAAATTCTTCAGTTTTGTGTTGCATCTCTTCGTCCCAAATCTTTCCTATGTCAACTGTGTATATTTATGAAAAGAAACGCAAATGCACATGCAAGCATATATGTCGCACGTGCCACACAAGACATGGGCATTTGTACATAGTTTCTCTATACATATGTCAATATATATAAGTGCATATCATATATATATATATATATATATACACGTAAACGAGGTATGAATATAAACACGAAACTATCTATTTTATATGTGCATGTGATTATGAAGAAAAACTAAGAACACCATACATTCAACCAAAAAAAAAAAACAAGAGGAAAATCGTTACCTTCGCAATAAAAGTCAACGCGACAATGTCATTGATTACCTCGTAAGTATTGTCTTGTTTTTCTTTGTCTTTGCCTTTGTTGGTAATTGAGTGAATGAAGCTGCAAGATGACCTGGTACTTAACTGATATATACATACATACATATACACACAGAGACCAATATATGCATATATATATATAATACTATTTACAAACGATATATACGAATGTCTCGGCATTTGGGTTTCTGCAATCGATAACTGTATATATATATATATGTGTGTGTGTGTGTGTGTCCTATAATAAAAGAGCTAATTACACTTTATTTTAAGTTTCATTATATATATATATATATATAACTGTTTATAAACAAATGGGAGCAAATGCCTCATTGAACTACGAACGGGAAAGAGGTAATATATAGTACCAACTAACAGAGATGAATAATAAAAAAGAAAAAGAAAAAAAAGAGATGAATAATAGATTCCTTTCTCTTTCTGAAAAAAAAAATGATGGAATCGTGAAATTAACAAGAAAATTAACACACACACACACAATGCGTATATGTATATGTATATATGGATTGTTACCAGATCATGCTGGCAGCTTCAGCCTCTCAAACCAACACGAATCTTCATATGTAAGAGATATGAACACTACAACTAAAGAAGAGCTATATATGCATATATATATATATGTGTGTGTGTGTGTGAGAGAGAGAGAGAGAGAAGAGTGATATAAAGTTCCTTCAAGTGTTAGCTGTGGGGGGAAACCACGCGGATAGAGATAAGAAACAAGAAAAAGATGTCAACTTGACAAACCTAATTATAATTTTTCACATGTATATATATATATATATACACGCACATATACACAACCACACACGTGTCACATCATATTTTTGTGCATCCATGTATGTATATGCCATTAATTGGGCTTGTGTGTGTGTTTATGCATGGACCATTAACTGTGTGACTGTGTCCCTCTTTGTCTTATATATGGTCCTTCCTTACAGCTATTGACGATGACCTTTCTCTCTCTCTATATATACACACACACACATATATATATATATACAGTGGTATATTCACTTTGAGCGAGTCAATGGCTATAGACAGTGTAGTTTTACCAAAACCCATGCATCAATTGGTCGTGTCGATGGATGTTCTAAGTTGGAGTTGACGGTTGATATATTCCCACAAACTTTTTACAAATGTGTGTGTGTATATATATATATATAATACAAACTTTATATTATTAAATACACATGCCCATGCCCATCAACACATATGGGTTTGAACTCTTAACACCATTATATTTTGATATATTGCATTACTGAATAGGGTTAATTAAAAGGGTTTTTTTTTCTTTCAAAACTTAAAGTTCTATTTTCTGTTATTAGGGGGAAAAAAGGAACAAAAAAAACAAAAAGGATGATAAGCTTTAGCAATTCCATGGCTGAGACAAATGAAAATGATACGACCGAATGTGATGCTGCATGCGTCGTCTGTCATATATAATCATGCTTGTCCTCACCAATCATATACTCCCAATATATATATATATATATGCATATGTTTGGGGCGCCTGTTTTGCTTTATTAATTGATATATATATATATATATATATATAGATAAATAGATATGTATATATATATATGAATATGTATGTATGTGTATACAAAATATTTATGTAGAAGATGGTATGTTTCCGTTGTTTTGGTCCTTTCCGTAAATAATTATTACGTTTCCATCTCTTACTCCCAAATTTGACAATGGAAAAATGACCTTACAATAATCAAACCAAACAGGTTTGGAATTATGTCCTCTCCGCATATATATTATCTGCACAACCACACTCAAAAAGAGAAATATTGTATATATATGTATGTACGCATGCATGTATGTGTTGATGGGCATGGGCATGTGTCATGGACAGATTGTTGGATGATGCATTTGTCTTTTGGTAACGTGTAGTCGCTGTATCTATCTCCAGTGTCTTTGTGGTTGACAACCGCTTCACATAAAACTCGTCACAAATATTACTTTTTTTTCATTTACTTATATATATACATGTACACACACACACACACATATATATATATATATATATATGTATGTATTAGTGAAAAATACAATAGCAAAAATTTATTTTGGTCATATGGGCTGAGACTTGTGCGTAGACTTTTTTCCGAAAATGGATCGTGTTATGGTATTCAAATGGAATTCGAGTATTATCGTGAATTGAATAACCATTACCACTATACAATGACACAAGTACTATGTTTTTTTTGTTGGATGAATACAAATAGTTATTTCAAGTAAAATTATTGTTTCTAAATACCTGAAATAGTTTATAATAATCGTATTTTCCATTGGTATACTTTTTTTTGCTCCAATTGAAATTAGTATCTAATGAGTAGAGAAATGTTCCAAAAAAAAAACTTTAATTGGTTTAGACATATATACATATATCATAATTGTTTTTGGTAGGTGAATTAAAAAAAATACATTAAAAGCTTTGAATTAGTAAAGAGTCGGTATATTATTGGTTTCTTTTGAGCACGAAGTTGGCATTATTGTTGTTAATTATAACCGATCGTTTATTGTCATTGTTTTTGTTGTTATGTTAAGACATAAACAAATTAGTAATAGGGTCCATGGAAACGTGATTATGTTTAAATGTCTCCTTTGATTGAAAAAGGAAAGGGAAGGAAAGAGCTAATTACACTTTATTTTAAGTTTCATTATATATATATATATATATAACTGTTTATAAACAAATGGGAGCAAATGCCTCATTGAACTACGAACTTTTTTTTATTAAAATTTATATGATATTTAGTATATATAGAGCCCAAATGATTAGAATATCCTGTCCGATAATTTTTATTTAATTATATTAATATTTTATTAAATAAAATTTCTATATATATATATATATAATGCCAATAGGGAACATGTGTATTTTCAATTCCCACTTAATTATATTTGTTGTTTTCCATTAGTTTTGTGATTAAGATGCTCTAACCAAACCAATCAAAGCATGATTAGTTATCCATGTGAATTAGCCTTTGCCACTTGGTTTACTTCTGCATCAATGTCTTTCCATTTTCTGTATATAGCAATTCATCTATGTTTCAATAATCATATTGGCCGTGACTGTTCGCCCATAACCGATGATAAAAACTAACGTTTGCATTATGTAAAATAATAATCCAAATATTTAATTTTCTTCTAAAACTGTCCATGTCAAAGATTATTAGCGAAACTATAATCTTTGGTAATTATTTAATAAAAGAACATTTCTAAATATTTTAATTTTTGACATCGAGAACTAATACTTGATAAAGGTTAAAAAAAATAAACTTAGAAAGGCTAAATTTCATCTTTCTACGGATACTTGGGAAATGTTCGATTCATAGCAAAATCTAGGCATAATTCTGAAATCATATGAACTTATGCGGTTATTTTATAATTTCATATTCTTGTGTACTCCCTTGATAATTGTAATGGGCCTCGTAATGCCATTTGTTTTTATTTTCTCTCGGTAATTTGTATATCGACCCACATTTAGAAGAGATGCTTAGGACCGAGAGCTATGGATTATATATATAGACTACATGCAATCTTATATATATATATATATGCGCGTGTGTTAACATGAGGAACCATGTATATATGCGCGTATATTTTCACTTTGTTTTGACCTTTCATATAGCAAATGTATGCGTATTTTTCCATTATATAAATATATATATATATAGCTTTATACATGATACTCGCAGATACCCGAACCCGAACCAGACGGGATGACGTTAGAAACCTAAACCTCAAGTTCAGGAGCGAGTTCTCCAAGCTAAGGAGCAGAATACTCACGGATACCCGAGCCAGACGGGGAATAGTAAAGAGAAAAGGAACGAGGTCTCGTAAAGGGAGAGGCCGCAAGGGGGAAGAGGAGGGTAGTACTATCTTTCCACTTTTTATTTTAAATCATATTAGAGTTCGAAATTGAATCTTCGAGGGTCTCGAGCCAGAGATTTCGCAGTCTCGCTCAGATGTCGAGGGCGATTTCATCGCCTCACTCACCTTCATCGCCCATCACCTCCCCTCGGACCAGATACAGCTCAAGTCATTGACCGAGTCGACCCCTTCGTCTTGCCGACCCTCTCACCTCAACCGGGTATCTCTCCCTTGACCCTTTCGCTTTACCGACCCTCTCCCCCAGTGTCCTTCACCTCGCCAATCGACAACATCGAACCGACAATCACCCTCTCACCCCTTGTCGGTTGGCACCCAAAACTAGAGTACACGACCACCAAGCAAAAACTATCAAACTCGAGGGGGGCGAGACTAAGGTCGGGCGGCCCAAAAAACGCAGATACCCGCCCGCATTGACTTCTAACAGGGGCACACATACATACTCAAAAGGTTGGTTGAAGCAGATACCACTTCCAAAATTGCCCCAACAAAAGGGGGATGCAACTCTAACGACACATCTAACCAACTATCTGCAAAAAGCTTGGAATCAGCCCAATGTTCCTACCTTACTGATATCATCGACCTATAACCAGGCAAAGATAATACTTATAACGACTAATCTCCCAAAAAAAAAAAAAATTCGAGTTTTCGCCTTTACCAATATTAAGGTGTTTTCGACACATCCTCCTTTTCCTTTGCATCCTCTTCGTGTTTGAGCACTTCCTCGTTATTACCATCCATATTTCCATCTTCACCGGGATGTTTCTTACTTTCCGTACCTTCTTCGGAATTCTCAAACAGGACTTCAACCTTGTTTTCTGTAACATTTTCCACCTTGTTTTCTTTTTTCAGTAACGGCTCTTCTACTACGAGTTTAGGCCTAACTAACTTCCTCTTCTTGAGCCGAGGAGCGGGATCTTCGGGTTTCTCTTTACACCCTTGAGTTAGATCACCTCGGCTCTTCTGTCTCTCGCTTCGACGCTTGAAATCGATAAAAGTCGGCTTCTGTACTGGTTGTTGCATAGTTTCCTCACAAGCAAGTGCATCATTTAGAGCTGTCTCTGAAGTAGGAGACATTGGATCATCCTCTAGTGGCTCGGCAGTTCGGGTCTTTTGCTTTTTCATCTCAAAATTTCCACCAGCATCGACATTTCTCGTGATTGATTTGAGTTCTTCCCGTTTCATCCAATGTTCGTGACACTCGTGTAGAAAGCTCATGACCTCATCGACTGATTCATCGACTTCTGAGGTATCCATCTTAGTGTCACATTCCTTTGGAGGTAAACCCAACCTAGAAAACACACTCCTCCTGGTGCTTTGAGCCCGACCCGCCTTGTTGAAATCAGGAAAATCATCCCTAAAGTTACCCCGGCTTGCATTAACTCTGTCCTTAATAGGCAAATCAACTCCATCACCCAATGGTAAACGATGAAGAAAGGAACGGTAGAAAGTAGGGCTGGAAGACTGAGACAAACTCTCGAAGTTCATCAACTTTTCCGCAGATTCCACAGAACTTAAGAAATCAGGACGTGGTAAAAGATGTGAACGATCTCTTCTAAATTCGTTCGAAAAGGTATTTGTTGGAACAGCTTTCGAATCAGCAACTCTAGGCCTGCTGGAGCTAGCTGGGTAATCAGGAAGCATGCTAGGCAATGGATGATAGTTGTCACCGGAGGCAAAATCAGCAGTTGCGAGCTTACTTGCCCCGCTATGCTCATCGAGGAATCGTTGAATTCCAATCATGCTGGTGCTATCTGGGTAATCAGGGTGTGTGCTAGGCAACGGCACATAATCACCCAAATCAAAACCAGCAGCCGTGTACTTGATCGCCTTGCTATGCTCAGTAGAGAATGGCTGAACCTTCTCGGGAGGGAGGGAATCGATGGTATAACCACCATAAGAAGTAAATCGTTGGCCCGAGACTGGATTGGTATTGGTTGCACATGAAGACGAGTCCATGGTACTAAAAGAAGGTGAATCCGGATCATAAGGCAGAGTGTTTTCTCCTGTTGCATCTCCCAGGAATCTTGGGTAGGTAAGGTTATAAGTTTCTCTATTTTTTGCATACGAAGGCTCGAGATGTAGCCTACGAGGAGGAATAGCCGGTGGATCTGCTTCTATAGAAACTCTGCCATGCTCAGCAGATTGGTCAAGGTTAGACCACAAACTAGGATACCCAGTTGACACGATCCCTGTAAATTCACCCTTGTCATGGCATACATTTTCTGACCAGCCATTTTCTGTATGCCTCAGGTTCTCAGGGACTATAGTATTAGTATCTAAAGAAAAAGGAGAATGAATAGTAGCATCTCTCCCAAATTTTATGCCCATGCCAAATTCATTTCCTAACAAATCTTTTGCCCCAGGTACTCTGTGATCAGTGAGCCTTCTAAATTCAATAGATGCATCATCTCCAGGCTGTTCATTCCCTGTGGGTGTATCATAATCTCGACCTACATCAGGTTCACCCTCTAAGCCGCTAAATGCTGTTAACCTACAATCTTTGACAGGATTTCTGCTGTTAACAAAACAATCCCCTGACGGTACATCTCTGAAAGCTAACTTGCAGTCAGTATCTCCACCATGTTCTATTGCATTGTCATTCTGAGCCCGGAGATCATCAATGGCTTTGCTGAATTCACTTGCTTGTTTCCTTGTGGAAAACCTACCCATAGGTCTAATCGATGGTGACCTCTCTATCTTCTTAGGGCTAAACAATGTCAAGAGCCTCTGAACCTGCAGATTTACATTTACAAATATGAAAAATCACGAGAAGTTGTCAAAGAACATGGAACGGCTAACTGACACCTGGATGCAGAAAAAGCGAGGGAAAAGTGGAAGGAAACAGCCATAGCCATAGTCATCCATTAAGGTTTGGACTCAGGGAGGACAAGTGAGCACACCTGAACCTCTGAAAGCCCAAAATTGAACTTATATCGTGAAAAGTAATTCTCTCGTATAGCGTCACGAAATACATCTTCACGAAGTGGCCTACAGTGCCATATCTGAACGCATTTCACCTATAAACAAAAGGGGATCAAGGGGAAAGAACATTAATTTCCGGGAAAAAACTAACACGAAAAAGGGTCAGATCCCCCTCGATAATGCTCCCTGCAAAACGATACATGGATCCATGTACCTGGGCAGGAAACTGCATTCCGGAAGAGCAGAAAGCACCAGGCACAATATTCATGCCACCGTCGGAACATGCCTGAAAAACACCATGTAACTCTCTAGTCTCGTGATCGAACAGAAACAAAACCATTCCATGTTTGACCTGTTTCACAAAGTCGGCTTGCATATAGGGCAAACCGAAAAGCCCTCTCTTAATGCATTCCTTCCTGGTGGAACTATTGGACATGAAAATCGCACCGTACTCTGGACTGCTTCCGATAAGACCACTGTGTTTCCTCACAAACTTCATCCCCTCCAATTCTGTGTACTTCACAAACTTATACAGTCAACAAAATCGAGTTCATCGAATCAAAAAGATAGGAGACAAACAAACAATCAGGGACAAAGAGATGTATCAAACTAACACAAAAGCTATGAAATTAAAACCAAAAGAATGCGGCATGAGAGTGAGAGGTTTTAAAGCAGGAAGTGCAAGGCAAGCCAGTGTTACTATGCCGATTCAAATAGAGAAGAGATAGCAGAAAACTCATAAACAAAAACAAAAACAAAAACCCATGTTCGAATATCGAGATTCAATAAATTCGATCAAAATCATCTCTCAAACTGGAAAGAAATAATGATTCCAAACACTACAACGAACGAACAATCTCCCAGCAACCAAAATTGATAGCGAGCAATGACGTTCACAACTACAACAGCGAAATTCCCACATGCATAACCCAGAAAAAAAAATCAATCAGAGAGAAATCAGAGACGAAAACAAAAGTAGAAGAATCAGCAAACGACAACAAGAGATCATCGAGAGAAAAAAATTGTTATCATCAATCGCGGCACATATTAGACCTGGGGGAAGGAACCAAACGAGTTCCTGTAGGGCTTCGAGAGATTCTGACCACTAGTCAGAAACCACGCAGAAACAGGAAAAAAAAGACAAAAAAAATCCAGAAACGAACAAAAAGAAGATGAAAACCTGCAATCCAGTGACGAAGAATAATAAGATTAAACGGAGAAAATACCAATAGTGATAGATTAGGGTTTCCTTCGCAGCATTACCAGCGGACGAGAGAGCACGAAACGTCGAGAGACAGCTTGTCGTATCTAAGCGAATGTTTCCAGCGAAATGAACGCGAGAATCGAGACAGTGGGTTTGGGTAATCTCGAGCTTTATAAATCTTCCGGGCTTTTGAATTAAAAGAAAAAAGAAATCTTTCTGTACATTAAAAAAATAAATATTATTTTCGCGATCGAATTTTGAACTATACGAGTGCATCTTATGGATTTTCTCAGATTTGTAAAAAAAATATTATCTTTATAAGAAGATTTAAATAAAATTTGGTCCAACAATAATATCACACGGGCAATAAGAATTTTGAATTTCCAAAATACCCTTCAAATTTTTATATTATTATTTTTTACTTATGCTTCCCATTTTTTTAATCACATATGCATAATGCATTACATGTGGATTCTTTGCTACATACTTGAATTTATTTACCAATGTTTACCATCAAGATCTAAGAGTAATTACTAATTAGTAACCCTTTTTTTTTATAGATTCCAAAAATGTCATCTTTCAACAAAAATTGGAATTTTCTAGTTATTGATGCACATTTATTCGAATTTCTTTTTTGGGGGAAAATATAAAGCCCAGATATTTCCGAGCTTCTTACTTCTAGCAATGGATATTATCTTCTTCCTCAGAATTTGTTCTCCTGAAGAGAGAAGGAGAGAAAGGAGGGAAAACCCATGAGTTCAAAGAGATTCATGCAGTAAAAAAAACCCTAAGAACATCTCCGTCTGTTTGGTCATGTACGGACAATCTCCGAGAAAATCCTTTTCATCTTCTTCTTCTCCTTCCCACTCTGGTTTCAAGCTCTTTCCTGTCTGTTTTAGTTTCTTACGTCGTTTCAATCTTCCTCCGCCGATGATTAATGGGTATGGAAAATGAGAAATCTAGATACCCATTTGCTCAAATTCTTCAATTTTGATCGGTTTCGCTCGCCATGGAGGAGATTAAGAAGAAAGCCCGTTGCTTTTTTCTATGCTTTATATACATACATACATACATATATATATATATCGTCAAAAACCATGTGGTTAGATTTGAGGCTTTTACAGAGAACATGTAGGAGATGCTGATTAGAGAATCAAATGGTTTTAGGTGATTGATTCTAATGGGTTGTTCTTCTTTTGGCTGCTTGATTTTCTTCTTCGTTTGCTTGTTGGGTCTTGTTCAGTAGAACTATGAATGTTTTGAGAGTATCCTGTTACTTGGAACCCAAGTAAAACCGGCTCTTGAATTCCCATGGGAATGGTGCTTGATTTACAGGTCAATATCAGTATACACACTGAACTGTATATTCATCAAGCAACGAAGCAGCTTCAACAACATATTTGGGTGTGGAGTGAAGAGTTTCAGTGTCGGGGCTGTGAAGAACTGCAAAAAGGAGGGGTTTCTCATCGACGAAAAGGGGAAATTGAGAAGGTTTGATCGGAAAAAGCTCTCGAGGAAACGATGTAAAACTCGAATCTCCTGACTGTATTCTGCTTGACAGAATGTGCTTATTATAATGCATTGAAATCTGATAACCATTGGTTCCGTATCTAGGTGGATCTTTAAGGGGAAGAGGATGGAAATATGGATCTGGGTTTGTTGATGGGATCTTCCCTGTTCTAAGCCCCATTGCTCAGAAGATTCTGAGTTTCATCCAGAAAGAGACAGATCCTGAGAGAGTTTCAGACATTCTAGGCACACTCCCTTCAACACATACATCATGGGATGATCTAATCAACGTCTCTGTTCAACTCCGACTTAACAAGAAATGGGAACCAGTCATTCTGGTAAAGACTTCCGATTCCGATTCTGATTCTGATTCTGCTTCTACCCAATACCCAAATCTTCAGTTGTGTTCATCACTGATGGGTTGATTCCAAAATCTCTTTTTTTTTGGTAGCTTTGTGAATGGATTTTAAGGAGGAGCTCTTTCCAACCAGATGTGATCATCTTTAATCTGCTTATAGATGCTTATGGGCAGAGGCGTGAACACAAAAAGGCGGAGTCTTTGTACGTAGAGCTTATCGAATCTCGATGTGTGCCCACTGAAGATACGTATGCTCTTCTCGTAAAGGCTTACTGCACGGTCGGGATGCTAGAGAAAGCCGAGGTTGTCTTCACAGAGATGCAGAACCATCACGTCTCTCCAAGTAATGTGTTTACACATCCTAACCATTTTCCTGTAGGGGTCAGGTATTCGAGTTTTTTTGGGGCACCGATCTCGACCTCGTCTCTATGGGTTTCGTGACTGCACTATCTCAACTTTTGTCTTGCAGACCTACGGTCTAGATACCCGAGGTTAAAGGTCGGGTATCTAGGGTACCCAACCCGCGAAAACTGTAAATGTTGACCCGAGTTTAGTTTAATAGTATAAAGGTAATTTTACACGAAAATCTATCAAGATATATGGTTATAAATTTATTAAAATATCAGGGATATAAACGTCATTTTATCGGCTATCCGCGATAACCCTTTGTGATTTGGAAAGCCATCATGTTTCTCCAAATGGTTATACATCGTAAGCATTTTTTGTAGCGATGAACATAGATCGGGTATCCGAATTTTTCGGATATTGAACTCAACCTCGTCTCTACGAGTTTCATGAATGCGGTATCTTGGCTTCGGTCTCGTGAGACTCTTATACCCTAGGTTAAGGGTGAAATGGTAATTTAACACGAAAATCTACATAGGTATTATCCCCGGTAACCCGTCAGGGGATATTACTCAAATAACCCACTTGGGTCGCAACAATTTCAGTGTACACCACCGAAAAAAAAAAAAAAATTTGCGACCTTATTACGACTAATATATAACTAATATACAACTTATTACGACTAATAAACTACTCTTATTTTAGTTGTATATTAGTTATATATTAGTCGTAATAAGGTCGCAAAATTTTTTTTTTTTTTCGGTGGTGTACTCTGAAATTGCTGCGACCCAAGTGGGTTATTAGGGTTAAAACCCCAACCCGTCATGGTTCGAAAAAAATATGAGCCTCGAACCTGCAGTGCGGGTTTCTGGTCTAGTCGCACCCACCTTCGGCTCCATTGGTGGCAGAGTACCCGGAAACCCACGGGTCTATCGGGTTTAAAAGTCCACCCCTATTTTCGTGCGTTCGTTTCCGAATTTCGGACCATCCCTCATAGATTTTGTTTTATTCTTTTTGAGAGATTCAAGATAAAGTCTTAAATGGAACAAAGATCATAAAAAAACACCAGGGTTCTTGATATTGTGCAGGTGCTATTGTATACAATGCGTATATCGACGGGCTGACGAAGGGAAGGGGGAACACAGAGAAAGCAATGGATGTATTCCAGAGGATGAAGAAAGAACGCTGCCAACTAAATACCGAAACCTACAACCTGATGATAAATTTATACGGAAAGGCAAGCAAATCTTACATGTCGTGGAAGATGTTCATAGAGATGACGAGCAAGAGAGGATGTAAGCCGAACATATGCACTTACACTGCGCTCGTGAATGCATTTGCGAGGGAAGGTCTTTGCGAGAAGGCGGAAGAAATGTTCGAGCAGCTCCAGGAAGCTGGCCTTGAACCCGACGCATATGCCTATAATGCCCTCATGGAAGCATACAGGTAAAAGGTAAATATGGTTGCCATCGTTTTGGATAATAACCGAATAAATATTGAACATATTTAATATAAAAACTGAATGGTTATGGTGTTTCTAAAACCGAAATAACCAAACTGAACCCCGAGATGGCGCCAAACTGTAGCACCCTCTTCGTATAGAGTGCTTTACGTATTCGATATCCTCGGGATTTCTAAAGCTTTAATGTCTTGAAAACTCTTTTACAGCCGTGCTGGTTATCCTCACGGTGCTGCGGAAATATTTTCGCTCATGCAGCATATGGGATGTGAACCAGACAGAGCTTCGTACAATATCATGGTGGATGCATATGGCAGAGGAGGGCTTTACGCAGGTACGCACATGTCTAGACCCTAAACCCTTTTATTCCCATCGCTGAATTTCTGGTTTTACTTCCAAGGACAGCCATGAAAGAATCTCTGCAGAAAGTTCATCTTGAAACCGAGGTAAAAACCGTGGTGTGAGGAAGTAGGAAGACACTGAACTGAAACTGCTACTTGTTCTTTGTGAATCTAAAACAGAAGCGGAATCAGTGTTTGAAGAGATGAAGCGGTTGGGCATAAACCCGACGATGAAATCTCACATGCTGATCCTGTCAGCTTATTCGAGAGCAGGGAACGTCCCCAAATGCGAGGAGATCGTGAGCCGGATGACGGAAGCCGGGCTAGAACCCGACACGTTCGTACTGAACAGCATGATCAATTTGTACGGACGGCAGGGGCAGTTCGACAAGATGGAAGAGGTTCTGGCCACAATGGAGGAGGAGGATGGCCCGTGTGCGGCAGATATAAGCACGTACAACGTACTGATCAACGTATACGGAAAAGCCGGGTTCTTGGACAGGATGGAAGGGCTGTTTCGTGAGGTTAAGGGGAAGACGAACATGGAACCGGACGTCGTGACGTGGACGTCGAGGATCGGAGCTTATTCGAGGAAGAGACTTTACGCGAAATGTCTCGAGATATTCGAAGAGATGATCGATTCCGGGTGCGTGCCGGACGAAGGAACTGCAAAGGTTCTTCTCTCCGCCTGTTCGAACGAAGAGCAAGTTGAACAAGTTACTTCGCTCATCAGATCAATGCACAGGGAAGTGAGTGTCAAATGAATGAATGTATTTTGGAATATTACACTTAAAGTTTGGATTTTTATGATTTGGTCCACTGCGAATTCTACCTAAACTTGAATAATTTAACCGGTGAAACAAGGAAAAAAAAAGTATATTCCACTTCGAATTCCGATGAAAAGAGATAGAAACGTTTGTTCCGTTTTGAATTCCGGCGAAACGATATGGAAAAACATTTGTTCTGTTTTGAATTCGAAACTCAAATCTGAGAAGGTTGTTCTAGATATTGATACACGATATTCAATTACCAAAATAATATTAATAATAATAATAATAATCAATGGCTTAATTTCTTTTCTCAATGGGCAACACAAAATTGGTCTGACAAAATTTAATTAATTTTCACAATAAATATGTCTATTAAAAATTATCAATGATGTAAATGTAAATTTCTCTGTTTTTGTTTTAAGGAAACCAAAACAGAATTAAAAGAAAAACAATCAATGAAAATAATACCGTAGGGTTTGATTATTTCGGCTAATCAAATTAAATTGAATAATATACGATCATATTAATTTTTTTATCATATGGATAAAAATATGATAAACCAAATTTTTTTTAAAAAATTTTGAATTTAAATCGAAATAAAGTTTTAATGATAAATTTAATTTGTGAAACGAGGATAGTATTTTAAAATGGAAAAAAATTGGAAAAGGGAGGAAAAAAAATATGCCCACTCGTTCCTGGACTCGCCCGAGTCAGTCATCCGTAAACTCGTTCGTCTCTATATGGACCAAATGTTAAACCCTTCCAAAATCCCTCAACCTTCGCGTATCTTCTACACCTCTCGGAACAGGGGAAATGTTCGTCGCCTCTCCGTCTTCCTTCTCTCCGGCGGCTGTTTTTCCGGTGAGCATCCGTTTCTTCGCATGCCCGCTTTGCCTTCGCCGGCGTTTTTCCAGAATCTTCCTCTTTGTTACCTGATAAAGTATCGCTATTTCTTGCAGAACCGTAATGGGAAGGGGACAAAACCTCAATCTCCGAGGAAGATGTTGGTCGTGAGAGCAGGAGCGAAGAGAATACTGTACGGAAGAGACAGCAGAGAGAAATTACAGGCCGGGATTGATAAGTTAGCTGATGCCGTATCTGGTACTCTGGGGCCTAGAGGTGAGTCATGAACTCGAATTGATAATCTTAGAATATTTTCAATTAATCACTTCATGTTACAGTAGAAATTGACAACATAGAAGGTGAGATTTGAACCTTCTCCCATGGAATTGGATGCAATAGCTACTTTCTGATGGGTGTATGGTTTTGCCGGAGATATTGCCATCTTTTAGAATCTGGAAGGAATCCCTCGAACTGAGTAGATTGGTAGGCTCGATTATTCCATCTACCCAATTGGATTTTATATAAGTAATTCATGTTCTGAATGTGAAACCTTAGGAAATCAAGTGGGTTGTACTGGAAATCTGTGATCTTTGACAAGAAAAGTGAGCTTTGTGATTACAATGATGATGGAAAGTTGAACCTTGATGAGACTTGATTCTTGAATGAGCTTGGTTGGAAATTTTAAACTTGGGGCATGATTCAGGGCGTAATGTGGTGCTTGCGGAATCAGATACGATTAAGGTTGTCAATGACGGTGTTACAATCGCTAAATCCATCGAGCTCCTTGACACAGTTGAGAACGCTGGAGCAACGCTAATCAAAGAGGTTATTCATGGTTGCTAAATGATTTCTCTCCTCTTTAGTTCACGTTATCGAAACTTTAAAATGTTTTCTATTCAATTAGGAACTTCAAGCTTGGAAGTTTTGTTCATGTTTGTAGGTTGCCACCGAAATGAACGATTCCGCCGGCGATGGCACTACAACCGCGATCATTCTGGCTAGAGAGATGATCAAATCTGGTTTGTGGGCAATTGCTTTTGGGGCTAACCCTGTTTCCTTGAAGAAAGGGATGAACAAGACTGTGAAAGAGTTGGTTAAGGTGTTGAAAAAAAGAAGTATTCCTGTTAAGGGGAAGAGCGATATTAAAGGTTACTAGTTATAGACATTAGCTCGAATTTTCTTCCTCTTTACACTTTATATGAAGCCCATCTAACCAAAGATTCTTCTGTTCTGTCTGTAGCTGTAGCCTCGATATCTGCTGGGAACGACGAGTTTGTGGGTAACTTGATTGCCGAAGCCATGGAAAAGATCGGCCCTGATGGTGTAATCTCCATTGAATCGTCTTCCTCATCCGAAACATCTGTCATAATCGAGGAAGGAATGAAGGTGATTTTTTTCTTCTGAGATGAACTTTGTTTCATACATTTTCAGCTGTTTATATGGAACATTTTCTTGTTTTCAGATTGACAAGGGCTATATGTCACCACATTTCATCACAAATCAGGAGAAATCTATCGTGGAGTTCGATAAAGCAAAGGTCCTTGTGACAGATCAGAAAATCGTGGCAGCCAACGAGCTAATTCCGCTTTTGGAAAAAACTTCCCAACTGAGTGTTCCTCTCCTAATACTTGCCGAGGATATCTCATGGGAAGTGCTCGAGACCCTGTTGGTGAATAAAAAGAAAGGTTTGCTCAATGTTGCTGTGGTAAAATGCCCGGGAATGTTGGAAGGGAAAAAGGGTCTGCTTCAAGATATTGCCCTCATGACAGGTTTGTCGGTTATTTTCATCTGCACTTTGATCATTCACTCACTCATCAAACAGAAAACTTTCTTAGTTTTTTTGCCTCTTTCTCAGTCTTCTGAATGAGAATTTTCGACATTTTTTTTTCTGTGACTAAACATCTCACATACACAAGCAGGAGCCGATTTTATCGCCGGGGATTTGGGCATGACCCTTATGGAAGCAACCTCCGACCAGCTCGGCATTGCTCGGAGAGTAACTATTACAAGCAAGTCAACAACCATAGTGGCAGACCCTTCAACTAAAGGGGAGATTCAGGCAAGAATTGCCCAGATGAAGAAGGATCTCGCCGAGACAGATAGTTCATATCTTTCAAGAAAGATTGCGGAGAGGATCGCAAGGCTCACCGGAGGCGTGGCCGTAATTAAGGTCCGATTTTTACAAGCATCGTCTTTATTTTCTGTATGGTGGAATAGTTTCAGGTAACATAGATAGATTCAAGATAACAGCACCTGTATATGTTTCATGTTGTTGTTTCAGTCTATGTTCAAGTTCAATAATTCTTTGAAGCTGTTTAAAGTTATTTTCCATGTTATTCAGGTAGGAGCTCACACTGAGACCGAACTCGAGGACAGAAAACTTAGGATCGAGGATGCGAAGAACGCTACGTTTGCAGCCATGGACGAAGGAATACTACCGGGTGGAGGTGCAGCTTATATCCATCTTTTAGATGAGATTCCGATCATAAAGAACCAGATGGAAGATTCAGATGAGCAAATGGGTGTAGATGTTGTAGCAAAGGTATGAACTTCCAAAGGCCAGACTGGTTTAGTAGGACGGCGTGGGTCGGTCACCCGAGATTTTCGGGTTATTCGAATCCAAACCCGAATGTCTCGGGTCTCACAACGAGATATTGGGTAAAACCGAACCCAAGTTTAAACACTTTTCAAAATAATTGTTTGACTCGGGTTAAATACCCGAAATTCGCGGGTTATTCGAATCCAAATCCGAAATTTCAAGAGATTTAAGTAGATTTATATGTAATATCTCAATAACAACTTAGAGACAAAAAAGTGTCATTACCTATTTATTCGAGTGCCCTTAGGTAATACCTGAATCCGATCTCAGACCCAATTACTCGAACTCGAACACAGTTTTTGGACTTTCCTCGTGCTTTAACCCGATCTCATCTCATATTGCAGGCACTTACTGCACCTGCAATGGCGATAGCGGCCAACGCAGGGGTAGATGGATCGGTCGTGGTCGAGAAAACGAGAGCTCTGGAGTGGAGAAACGGGTACAACGCCATGTCAGGAAGATTCGAGAATCTGCTGGAATCTGGGGTGGCGGATCCTTGTCGGGTTTCGAGATTCGCTCTTCAGAACGCGGTTTCTGTCGCGGGTGTTGTGCTCACAACTCAAGCAGTGCTTGTGGAGAAGATCAAGCTACCGAAACCTAAGGTTCCTCTTGTTCCGGGTATCAACATGTAAGAGGATTACATGGACAAAGCAGGAATACGTTTCTTGCAACACAAGATTCCTAACCAGTCAGCCCTAATAATATAACTCTTTACATAACACACATGTTGATACATTTTTCTTTTCTGCTGTATTATTGCCTTTGAGTATATAAAATTATAATTTAAAGTTGTGGTCTTCCTACTTGCAATTAGTATTTTTCTATTTTTTTTTAGTATTAATTTGGAGAATCCTTAAAACTAAAATGGTGTTCGAGGAACCGTCTCCTAAACACAACCAAAATAACAAAACTCTCTAAAATGTATGAAAGCATGGTGGGTATTTCGGATTCGTATCGAAAAATTCGATATCGTTTTAAAATCGAATCGTTTAAAAAGAATTTTTTTTTAAAAAATATATAACTTTTTCTTAATAAAAATCAAAATTAAACCAAATCGAATATGATATAATAATTGATTAGTATATATATTTATAAAACTGAAAAAACTGAATCGAATAATTTTTGAATCGAATAGCCAAAGACCCAACTCACTTGTTAACGAAAATACCAAAAAGTTTTTTCCGAAATAATTATAATTAATAATATTAGTTTTCATTTTTTTTATCGAAATAATAATGAAAATATTGTTATTATTATTAAAATATATCAATTACAATATATATATATATATATATATATATACCAAACTTGAATAGCTGAGCCGGTAAAACGGAACGCTAAACTTCGAGTTCGACCTCAGACCGAAGGGACGAACGCATATTTTAATCACATAATTTACTCGCGGTTCCGGAATTAGTTTGGACTCAGGACACCTGCTTACCTAAAAAACTACAAAATATAAATACTTTTTTCGATGATTATTATTACTATCGTGATAAAATCAATTTTCATCTGCATTCGTCACGAACCAAATTAATGTTTATATAAAAAAAATGAGAGTATTTGGTTAATTTGTATCTTCTTTTGTAGACTGTAAAATTATGTTTTTATAATATTTTAATAAATTAGTTATCTATACGAAACTTTCTATTTAGTATTATCATCATTTTGAAAGTGAAATATATTTATATCAAAATTTAAAATAGTGATTGTGTTTATTTGAGAATTATCAATAAACGGTGATCCAAAAAATAACGGACTAATGATGAGCACAAAAAAACCTAATTAACTGGATTGAATAAAATCAGTAAAACAAATCGGAATATCAGAGCGTTGCAGAAAAGGATGAGCTGAAGAAGAAGAAGAAGAAGAAGAAGAAGAAGAAGAAGAAGAAGAGCTAATCTCATCGATTCAATCTCACCGATTATGGCGCGGAAATCTTCTCTGCTGAAGAAAGTCGCCGTCGTCGTCTTCTCCGTCGTCGCTGTCTACGGCCTCCTCAACGTCTCCGTCAACACCTCCCTCCCTTCTCAGTCCTCTCCCTCCGATCTCCCCCGCTTCTCCGTCTCCGGATCTCGCCAGCTTTTCCGCGATGAAGCAGACGACGAGGAACAATCCAAGGATCGGGTTTCGCCTAGGGTTAGGGTTTACATGTACGATCTTCCCAGGAAATTCACCTACGGCATCATCGAACAGCACGCCATCGCTCGCGGCGTTCTCAAGGAGAGTGTCGAAGATCTAGCCCAGCTCAAGTACCCGGGTCATCAGCATATGCACGAGTGGTACCTTTTCTCAGACCTCAACAGACCGGAGAAGGATCGATTCGGGTCTCCGGTTGTCCGCGTTATGGATCCTTCCGAGGCCGATCTGTTCTACGTGCCGGTGTTCTCTTCTTTGAGCCTGATTGCAAATGCGGGTCGACCCGTTGAACCCGGATCTGGGTACAGCGACGAGGAGATGCAGGAGAGCTTGGTGGAGTGGCTGGAGGAGCAAGAGTGGTGGAGGAGGAACAATGGGCATGACCATGTTATCCCAGCTGGCGACCCCAATGCTTTGTACCGGGTCATGGATCGGGTCAAGAACTCGGTCCTGCTCGTGGCGGATTTCGGACGGCTGAGGCCTGAACAAGGATCGTTTGTAAAGGACGTGGTCATACCTTATTCCCATAGGGTCAATCCCTTCAATGGCGAAATTGGAGTGGAGGAACGAAACACCTTGTTGTTCTTCATGGGGAATCGGTATCGGAAAGACGTAAGTTCTGTTTTGCACTCTGTTCAAAACCCTAGTTCTCATTTCTCTGGATTTGATTGATCAAATCATGTTAGGTTTCAAGTTATTAGGAAAGTTTAAGCCTTTAGTAAACCATTGGTCACTCATGCTTTCTTTCTGTTATGTATACATAGTGATGTATAGAAGGATAACGAAGATCTCTGTCTGAGTTTGCTTGTTGGGTGTCTTTAGGGTGGCAAAGTTCGTGATTTGCTTTTCCAAGTTCTTGAAAACGAAGAGGGTGTCATAATAAAACATGGAACACAGTCAAGAGAGAATCGACGAGCTGCTACAAAAGGAATGCATACTTCGAAATTTTGTCTGAATCCTGCAGGTGATACCCCTTCGGCCTGCAGACTCTTCGACTCCATAGTCAGCTTGTGCATCCCCGTGATAGTGAGTGACGACATTGAGTTGCCCTTCGAAGACGTTATAGATTACAGAAAGTTTTCGATTTTCGTCGAGAGCAATGCTGCTCTGCAGCCGGGGTCTCTTGTTCAGATGCTGAGGAAAGTAGAAACCGAAAAAATCTTGGAGTATCAAAGAGAAATGAAATTTGTATGCTCTCTCTTGCTCGCTGTTATTACGTTGATTTGCCATTCAAAGGCTATTTTCTGATACGTTTTCTGACCCATGATGATGCCAGGTGAAACGGTATTATGATTATACAGACGGAAATGGAGCTGTGAACGAAATCTGGCGCCAAGTCTCGCAGAAGGTACCGCTCATCAAGCTAATGAGCAACCGAGACAGACGCCTTGTCCGGGGAAATTTAACCGAACCAAACTGCTCTTGCCTCTGCTCAAACCAGACTGGCTTAATCATCACCTCCATAGAACAGTGACCGACCCCTCTCCTCTATAAAACACCCTTTTCCTATCAGATGAACTCAAGCCCATCTGCCTTCACTTTCAACAAAACCCTCCATTGGTAAGTGAAGTGTGAATTTTTCCAGTGTTGGATCTCAGAATCGAATTTCAGATTGCGCAGGAAATGTATTTGATTGTTTTTTGTTTTGGTTTTTGTAGCTTATCTTCCCCTATAGTGTTACACATCCACGGAGCCAGGGAGATTTGATTACTCATTGTACATGATGCCATGATATTACACTCTCAGGATTTCACAGACAAGACAGCTTCTCTCATTCTTTTGTTCTTGGAAAGCTTCTGCTTTTGATTTGATAAGAGGCCTTTCTTACATGAATATGCAAATCATCTCTCTCTCTCTAGAATTAGTTTTTTATTTCAAAAGTGTATGCGTAAATTCGATTTGTGACGGGGAAAAAGTGTATGTATAGACAATATTAGGTATTTTTTAAATATAAAATGTTACAAAATGTTGTTTCTCTACACATATAAGAGAGTTTGAAAAGTCCGTGAAAATAATACTGTTTTCTATCGTTTTCTCGGCATCCAAACAGGACAACAAAGTCACCAGCTTTATCACATTTCAGGATTGACCCGTCGGCGTTTACCATCCTCTCCCATCGATTTTGTCGGTGGATTTGTTTTTCTCCGACCAAATCGAGACAGCCCAGAGGGGATTCAGCGGAAGAAAGAACGGAAAAATTTCCAATTTGACCACCATGGATCTCGAGCCTGAGGAGCTCCAGTTCCTGACGATTCCTCAGGTGCTCGTGGAATCGATCTCTATCACGAAACGATCGCCCAAAACGTTCTATTTTGTAACCCTAACCCTAATCTTCCCTCTCTCCTTCGCCATCTTAGCTCACTCGCTCTTCACCCACCCGATCCTCGTGAAGCTCGACTCGGTCGACTCGTTCAACTCGGCTCGGGCCCGGCACGATTGGACTGTCCTCTTGATCTTCCAGTTCTGTTACCTGATCTTCCTCTTCGTCTTCTCTCTCCTCTCCACCGCCGCCGTTGTCTTCACCGTTGCTTCGCTCTACACGGCCAAGCCCGTCTCCTTCTCTTCCGCCATCTCCGCCATTCCCAAGGTCTTCAAGCGTCTCTTCATCACCTTTCTATGGATAGCTCTCTTGATGCTAGCTTATAACTCCGTGTTCTTCGTCTTCCTCGTTATTCTTCTCGTCGCCATTGATAAGAACAAGCTGGGTTTGGCTGTTCTCGCTGGGTTGGTGATCTCTGTCCTCTACTTCGGTGTTCATGTCTATATCACAGCTCTCTGGCATCTGGGCAGTGTTGTTTCCGTGCTCGAACCGATTTATGGCTACGCCGCCATGAAAAAGGGTTACGAGCTTCTGAAGGGAAGAGCCCAGATGGGGATGATTCTGGTTTTCGTGTACCTGATACTCTGCACGTTAATCGGGGGCGTTTTCAGATCCGTGGTGGTTTATGGAGGTGAAAAGCATGGAATCTGGGCAAGAATCGTGATCGGTGGGTTGCTGGTCGGTGTTCTTGTGATTGTGAATCTGGTGGCGTTGCTGATACAGAGTGTGTTCTACTATGTCTGCAAGAGTTATCACCATGAATCGATCGACAAAACCGCTTTGTACGACCACCTCGGAGGTTATCTTGGAGAGTACTTGCCTCTCAAGAGCAACATCCAGATGGAGGATTTGAATGCCTGAATGGTGACAAACCCTGTTACAGAACAGGGTCGAGGAAGAAGAGGAAGCGAAGTTATGTCTGAGTAATCTTGTTCTGTAACTAGTAATGGTGTAAAGGTGGAAGCTTTGTGTACTTGTTGTTGGCTGTATGTATATCCCACAAATGAAGCAGCTTTCTCTGAGTTCTTGATCTTGTAAGTGCGTTGGTTCTACCGATATGGTGAAGCTTCGGCTTGTAAGGAGAGGGAAGGGAATACAGAACAGAATCTTTGTCATTCTTAGATGCTTTTGGGTTTAGGGTTCATGCAAATTTCGAAAGAGATAACTCAAAATCGAAACCGAAAGTATTCATACGACGGAAAATAAACTTGGGATTAAAACAATGTTGATGTCGATGTTTGGTAGATCATTATCTTGGTTCGGTCGGACTTTTGAATTTGTTGTATACAGATCTGGGATTGGTTGATGTTTCAGATGGTTATACACCATTTTGGGCTTTGGTTTGGTTATTTTTCAGATTTTTTTTTAATTATCATTTTACAAACAAAATTATAACTATTAGATAATTTAGTTGGAATAAAAAATATTTAAATTTTTTATTTGGTTCGAATTTTTTCGGTTTTATAAAAACTATAATCATAATTTTTATATTGAATTCTACTCGGCTTGATTATTCCGTTTTTAATTCAATTTCTTTTAAACGAGTTCAATGTCTCTAAGCATATGCAGGCAACGCAATTGCGAAATAAAATTATATGTTTCGTAGTTATTCGTATTCCGAATCAGGTTTCACGATTTAGTGGTTTTGAAACAATTACAAAAACATCATTTATATTTATTAAAAATTTTAAAAACTCACATTTGATTTGCTTTCCTAAAATTATAAAATATCTAAATGTTTATTAAACAACATAAAATTTTTCTATTTTATGTGGGTCATAAGCCCAAAAACGCTTGCCTCCGCCGCCAACCAGTAGATTTGATGGGCTAAGGCCATCGCGAGGCTAGTCCTTATCAAATAATTTTTCGGAATCCGTATAAAATAATATTTTCTTATAAAAATATTAAATAATTTTTTAAAAAATATTTAAAGATAAATTTATTGTGAATTATGTGTAAAATATTTAATAGTTTAAGATTTGAAATTTATGATATGTGTAAATAAATGGTGAAATATAAAAATGTTTTTTTATAATTAATTTGGGATTGAAAATTGAAAGATGAGTATCGGATTATGTTATGAATATTTATTCTAGATTTACAAAAAAGAAATAATGATCAATTATATTAATTAATGAATTTAATATTATAAAGGTGAGAAAGTAACAAAAAATTATAATAATTAGTGATAATAATTATAAAATATAATTTTAATTAGTTATTATATATTAATTACAAGTTAGTATTTAAAAATTAATTTTTTAAAATCTAACTCGACCATTGTGGGGCCCCGTGCTACGACACCTGTTTTTTTTTTTCCGGCTCTGCCTATGAATATACCACCGATATCATTTATTGTTATTATTATTATTATTATTATGAAAAGTCAGAGATTTTTTTTTTGTGTTTAAAAAAGTGGTTACTCATAGAAAATTGACGCATATGTATAATGCAATGAAATCGAAGGTCTAGATTTTATATATTATTTTTGTTTTTATTACGTTTTTTAACCGTTAGAGGCTAATTAAATAACCAATTAAATTTGGGAACGATATGTGTTTCAATTTTCTAAACACGTGTGTCCTATTCAGTCAGTCGTATTCAAATTGGGAACCAACCATTAGTACACCATTATATAAAAAAATTTTATAATTACTAAAGTAAACAACATCTTTATATTTATGGAAATTCAGAATTTGTAGATATGAATAAATTGACAACATTTTCTCTTTTTCTTCACAAGAAAAATAAAATAAAATAAAGTTTGCCAACCTGAATAACCTTTTTATAAGTATACATCCCCAGAGGTATATTCCAAGATTCCATTTTTTTTATATTCCATAATAACTACACTTTATTGTCACCGATAATAATGACATTTATAATGGAAGCTTGCAAAAGATCTAAAATCGAAAATTAAATTTAAAAAAAAAACGCATAATGCATTGTGACAATAAAATACTATTCGACTAATTTTAGTTCAATTAATTTTCTGGCGCCAATAATTTAACCGGTAAATATGGATATAAAACTGTACGTGATTTTAAATTCGAGTCTTGAAATATATATTCATGATTCGTTAAACTATTTTTTATACGGATTCAGAAAATATTAAACAAACTCGCTAAAAAAACGAATTAGTTACTCTAAAAAGGATTAGTCCGTTCTAAATTCCTAGTTTCGATTTAGGGTTCTGTCTTATTTTATATGATTAAGACACTGAAAAAATAATCATGACGGTTACGTGTGGAAGATGGTGGACCGACCGAACATAAACTACCCCTTCGAATGAATATACTACGTGCTATTATAAGTTTATAACACACACGGATATGCATATGTCACATATACATACATTCACGTATGTATTCTTGATTTGCTCCCAACATCATGGCCCATACCTCCAACGAAATGCTGACACGTGTTACTCTTCATAATCGTTCTTATACCACACATGCATGCACGATGTATTAATCAGATTCTATTTTCATATATATAATTTAAATTATCGTATTATTATATAATAATCCGCACGACCAAAAACAAGTGAATACTTTTTTTTTTTGTTGAAATACAGGTGAATAAAGTTACTAGAAAATGTGAAATAATGATCTTATATATGAAATATTAACTATGAATTTCGAATAGTTTTGTTTTATTTTACAATATATATATATATATATATATATATATAT